TGCCATTTCCTTTGCCATCTGCAAAGAAACCCTCCCCAGAAGCAGCTGGTCCAAAGAGTTGGGACTGCTGGGATCAGCTGTAAGAGAGTTGTGGGGAGTGCTGAAGTCCCCAAGAGAGTGGAGAGGGTGATCAGGTTTTTGAGGGGACATTGTGGAAAGGAGGAGATGTTTGTGTTTAAGAGCAGGTGAGTGGATCCCCTGTTTGTTGCACAGCCTCGAAAGGTGGTGGTGTTGTGTCAGTGGCCAATGAGTGCCATGAGATCCTGGGTGAGAGGGACGTGTATGAGAGAGCATGAGGTACGCCAAGGTTGTTCCTCCCTTTGGAGTTGGCTCCCCCTGGTTTGGAAGCAGGCCCAGGTGTTTGCACCTGGAGTTTTCCCAGCATGGACAGACAGAGACACAAGGGCTCTCGTTGAGGTTCGTGATGAGGAAGTTTGCTAATAGTGTCATGCTGTCGTCCATTTTTCCATTCCAAGGGGTGTATGCCCATTCGGAATGACTGTTTTAGAGACGGAAAGACCCAATGTAGTGATTGTAGCCATTTTTTGTAGCATCCATGTCCTAAACATAGTGAAAAGAAGAAGAGTTAGGCTGCCCCCATGTTGTGATTGTGAAAGATGTGTTGTGTTTCCTCAGGTGATTTCACACCCAGTTGCTGAGTTTGGGTTTGGAAGTGTGCTGGCTTGAGAAAGTTGCTGAATGAATCAGTGCGGGTTTGTGCGTGTAAAAGTTTCCTTTAGGATGGGCCAAGGCGTGTAGCAAGGGGTGGCAAGAGGCGCAGGAGAAGATGTGTATTTGTAGTCCGGGTGTGTGGGAACGGTTTGAAATGGACTCTTGAAAAAGTGAAGAGAAGCAATAGCGGGTGTTTGTCAATCGTCGAGCATCAGCCTGCGAGAAGAAGTCCTCTGCACTGTGTATTGAAAGAGACAGCAAGGAACATCTATTCTCACGTTGCAGGCCATGTGAGTGCAGCAGTGTGTGAGGAATCCATTGTGAGTGGTGGGAGGGCAGCGGTGCAGACCCAGAGGCTTAAGTTGATTCCATGCAGGGCTGGCATGATGGCTGCCCTGGAGAGCATGGCTGCCATGTGTTTGTGTTTTTTGGTGACGGTCCCATGGCCTTAGCTGGCAGGTGAGCATCACAGCAGAGGCAGAAGGTGTTCCTTGAATGTCCCAGTGAAGCTTCCCTTTGATTTGCCAAGGCATGGTCCTGAAATTGTTGAGTGAAGCCGTGTGAGAGTGAACATGGCAAGTGTGGCATTTTTCCCCCTGTTGCAGGTTTTTCCATGTGTCTGTGAATGATTCCATGATTCCGTGGTTGAATGGAGTGAAGTGTCGGGTGTCGATGTGTGAGGTGTTTGTGCCCAGGCAGGCAGGCAGGCCTGTAGAGGGAGGCCTCGGAGAGCGCTGCCCTTGCCTGGTGAGCAGGTGCGTTGAGGATGTGAGTTGGTCCCCTGTGGGCAGGCATGGGTGAGGCAAGGAGTCCTTGGCCAGGAGGCTGCGATGGTGGAGCCTCCAGTCCGTCCTTGGGTCCTTGGAGTGTTTGGTGTATTTGGAGAAGCTATTATTCCCGCGATGGTCCTGGAGAGGCGAGCATGGTTGAGGCCCTCCGTGACGTGGAGGCCGCTGTGATTGAGGCAGCCATCTGTGACCGTGCTGAAGGTGCTGATTTTGTGCCCTTTTGAAAGAAAGCAGAGAATGTTGGTTGTAGCAGGTGTATGTGTGAAGCTGATGCATCGAGCAGCATGGGCTTTTGCTGGTCTTGGCTGTGAAAGATGTGAATTTGCCAGCCTTCCCAGGCACCGTAAGTGGAAATAAAGATGCCTTTGTGCGCCTGTTTTGAGCCTGTGGCATGCCTAGGCATTGCTGTTGAAGTGGCCATGCGCTCAAGTAGGATGGTTGTGTTGTTTTCCCCATGCTAAGTGTGACTGTGATCAGCACGCATCCATGTGTCCTGGTTTCTGAATGTTGTGAATCGTTTGAAGTTGCCATGGCAAGTTCAGTGTGTTTGAAATGAGCTGGGGCAAGAGAAGCCATGTTTGTTGAAAGGTCCATGTGTGTATGGTATTTTTTTCTTGCCCTCCTTGTGTGACTATGACGGTACAGAAATAAGATTTTTTTTTTCAAAGCACAGGCATTGAGAATGAATATGTTCTTTGGAATGGAAGTGTGGAGGGAGGAGAGCATGGTCGTGTTGTCAAGTTCGTTCCAGGAAGCTGTGTGGGAAGCCATGTTGGTGAGAGGATTGCCGTTGTCAAGGCATGTCCCTGCTTGTCCAGTAGGTGGAGCCAAGAGCTAGGTGAAGAGGAATGTGTGTGTGTGTGTGTGTTGGTGTTGGAGAGATTTGCTTGTGATCATCCCTGCAGGATGTGAGGGTCCTGAGTGGGCAGTGAGGGCCGAGGTGTCCCTTTGTAGCGGGTGTCTGAAAGGGGGGGATCCCATGGCTCCTTCCTTTTTGTCCTGGCAGCCGTGTTTTTTGTTCGAATGAATTTCCGGGCAGAAAGTGTCGTAGGATGAATTTCCGGGCAGAAAGTGTTGTAGGAAGTGTGGAGGTGTGTTGAAGAAGAAGTGCAGAGTGCCAGGTAGGGAGAGTGCGAAGGGTCCCAGTCGGTTCCTTTTTTGTGTGTCCTGTGAAGGGTGCAGATCGTGGTGGGTGCTATTCCCTGTGCTGGTTCCGTATTCCCCTTGGAGTTGGTTCCCCTAGTCCAGTGATGGCGAAGGTCTGACACGCGTGTGAGAGGTGACACGCTTAGTCCCTTTTTTTGGTTGATTTTTCTTTGTGAAATGGCATTGAAATACATAAAATAAATATCGAAACTACAAGTGTTTGTTTTACTACGGTTGCAAATCTCAAAAAATTTCTATATGTGTTACGGCACCAGAGTTCAGTTCGGGTTTTTCCAAATGCTGACACGGGAAGGTCCAAAGGTTGGCCATCACTGCGCCTAGTAAGTCCTGGGCTGCAAGGTTGACCTTGCCATGGGCCTGGTGAGGTTGTCCCCCCCTCGTTCGCTGTGGGCTTTGTTGTTTTGCACGTGAATGCAGGGCTTCGTTGTCTTTTTTTGTAAATCTTGACCTTTTTGCATTTGGTTTGTGTTATGCAAATGCGAGTGTTGG